CCCGCGGTGGAAGTAATACCACAAAAAAAAAAAAAAAAAAAAAAAAAGGTCCTCCGCTGCAGCCTTGGTAACATCGAACTATGTTTTATTTATAAATGAAATGGTAAAATAATTCCAGACATGCATGAATGCAAGACTAACCTCATTACATGATAACTTCCTGTTAGGAATTTATTGAGCTCTTATATCATTAGTGTAAAATGCAGCCATGGAGATAATGATTATCTATTATGAATAATGTAATTACAGTGAGTTATTATCCCCTATTAATGAGGCAAAGTAGTCTTTAATGAAAATCAATACTGTGCTAAAGAGGAGTGGAGACAAATAAAAGATGAATAAAAGAGGGCCTAAATTGAAAAGGGAAAGTAATCGGTGCTCTTTCTTTTGCTGTGTCCTTGACACACATTCTCACGCTCCAGCTGTCGATTATTCAATAAGCCAGGCAAAATTACAGAAGGAGGTGAAAGCCTGGCCATGAAAGCGGGACTTCAAATAGGGGAACCGGGAGATAAATGGAAGCCAGCTATATATATATATATGTCTGATATATATATATAGAGTTGCTCTGTCTATATACAATGTAGTTTTATGTTCTGTTCTGTGCTTCTTTTAAAAGTAAAGGCATTGCAGTTTTAACAGCCCCACTTGACCCTATAACAGCAAAACCGGATCTTTAGTCCCCATCTCGGCTGTATTTGAATAGATTTCCTTTAACGCGACACAAGTGCATTGATTTTCCCATCTCTACAGCACTAACCTGCTTGTTCTTGCATTATTATTATAGCATGTTTCCTGTGTTCACCCAACCGACCTTTGACATCTAATCTCCTCTTTCACACTGCCTCTTTTTCTGCTCTTTCATTTTCACACATGGACACTTAAGTTTTAACAAGAGATGCTTGAACAGAGCCAGTTCACTACATTAAATATTGATTCGGTTTATTTTTCTCTGTCAAAACTTAAAAATGGAAAAGCTGAAAGAAGTTGGATCATAAAGATAATTAAGAAAATTAGAAGTTAATCGTGCAAGCATATCGGATTCTATCGTATTTTGATGTGCTGCATTGATTTTGTTCTTTTCTTATGCCTCCAAAACTTTAATATTTCCAGTTTTCATCCTGACCTTTCCCAGACATACCCTGGTTTTTACATTAGGCTTAAGTGTCTGTGTACTCAATGCAGTGTACTCAAGAGGGGTTACTCCTCAAAGTGTTGAGATTCTAATCAATGGATCTGATCAATAGGTCATTTAAAAGGTGACACAGAGGTGCCTACTGGCCCAGTGGACCTGAATCACCCAACAGTGTAACTTAAACGCACACATGAAACAGCAGGGGATAAAACACATACACATTTGGGTTTATACATGCGGCAAGAGTGTGCCGTGAAGCTCAATACCCTGGCTGGCGTCCTGGAAGTGCCTGCACTGCTGCGATTACTATTCCGCCTGAATTTTCCCTCCTCCCCCACCGTGGATATGAGGGACACCAGCGGGAATGTCACACAACTTTAAACCATTCACTTCGTTAGAACTTCCTGAGTTTCAAAGGAATATTTTAAAAATGCCCAATTCCTCTCTGTGTTGTTTAGAGGCTGTGTGCAGTGATTTCAACTAGCATGTTTCTCTGTGGCTGTGTCAGTTTGTTTAGTTTCTTTCTTTCTTTTTTTTTTTTTTTTTTCCCCAAGGTATCAATCCTGTGTGTACCTGGAGGTTCAAGTGTTGGCAGTCTTGACATTCTCATTCTGTTACAGCCTTTCTTCTCAGTCTAAGTTAACACATCCATACGCATCTACTCTTTATATATATATATATATATATATATATATATATATATATATATATATATATATATATATATATAGTACGTACAGGCACTCGTATAAACACACACCAGGAACCTGGCGCTTGCTAACACCCCCTCCCTCATCGTGCGCTCCTTCGCTCCAGCCTCAATGGAAAAGGGTTGAGCCCTTATCTTTGCAAAACACTCCATCCAACTCCCCTCTTACTAAAAGGCTTTACTGGCTAATCTTTAGCTCATACAAGTGCCTGGGCAATAGACGAAGAGTGAAGTCGAGAGAGAAAGAGACACCGAGAAGGGAAGCGAAAGAGGTGGAGAGTGGAAAATCGCCATTTTCTGTTTATGTGCCTGCGTAGTTGTACAGCATTCCTGACCCGCTGCATTATATAAATTTTTATCTCGCCCTCTCCCCCTCCTCCATATTCTCTCAGTGCCTTGTGGTGGCAACATCACATCAGACAACGGGACCATCTTCTCCCCGGGATACCCAGAGGAGTACCCGAACTCAGCTGACTGCACCTGGCTCATTTCAGTGGCTCCTAGCTTTGGAATCAAACTCAATTTCACTCTGCTTCAGGTTCATGGGCCGCATGACTTCATAACTGTCTGGTAAGAAATGACAGAAGCATACAGACATTTCAGTGATGATGTACTTGGTATATTGTGGTGATAATGGCTGAAAATGCCAAAAATTTGCTCAATTTCTGTGTTTCTTTTAAAGCTGCTTTGAGCTGTAAAAGTGATTCTAAGCCATTTTCTTTTTTCTTGGTGAATTATATATAGTTCATATCATAAGAGGTCAAAACATATTTATACTAGAAGCAAATGAAATGTGTCACCACTTTTCTGAGTTCTCTGTATTCATTTCAATACATTACTGATACTAAAAATAGCTAACTTTGAGTAAGGTCCACACTGAAGAGTGTTGTGATGATCTCAACCTGGGATTGCTAATGCATGGTGCATTAAATGACCGTAAAAAGATTGGATATTTCAAACTGCTTCCTGTACTGTCATTAATCAGAACAAGGAAAGCTGAAAATTGGTCAGTTCCAGCATGTAGCTTCTCTCTCCATTTACATTTTAATGTTGTTTTCTACATGCAATTTCTTTGTGAGGAAATAAATGTAGAATGGGCTTTGGTGTTGCACTTTATTTCTTGATTAGCTAACAGTGACATGACATTTATAAACCCTGGTTGACTAATCAGATAAATAAGTGGTGCATGGTCATTTGGGTATGAAAACATGTGCTCACTTGTCAGGAATTTTGGATGACTGGTTTTTGTCTTCATGCCTGGCTGATGTTCAGACAGATAATTCTTCCTTTCACTGTTTGCATAAGGCTTGACCTGCCATATTTAACACCAGAGACGGGATTTTACATGCATGATGGTTTCCGGTCTTGATTCATCCCCACTCCCCCGAGAAAGCATCCTAAAGTCCCAGCTCTCATGGAGACCAGAGATGTTACTGCCAGTGACCCAGGAAGCTGAACGACCACACAAATTGCTCACAATGTGTGGGCTGACATCTGTGTTTTATTTATGTATTTATTTATTTGTTTGATCATGGAGGGTTTCAGGTCAAACTCCAAAGACCTGACAGAATGACCATTCTTATTGTTGTCTTCTCCCCTGTCAGCGGCACCAGTTGTCATCTTTTCAACAAAAAAAAAGTCCCAGCAAAGTCGCGATGCGGACTATCACATTCCCCGCTTCCAGTTAACGTTGCTGTGTATCTATTCACCGAACCACTGAGCCAAGGAAATGGGCCCCATAATGGTGGCTTGGCTAGACTGCTGTCAGGCAGCATTCCCTAGCCAGCCGTTTCCAGAGCTGCTTGTAATCTCCCATGCCCAGTCTGACAGCCAAAGACAGATGGTTTCTAAACTGAATGGTTGTGGCTGGAATCTGGGAGCTGGCTTAATTGGCCATGCCCACACCAGGGGACTGCCAAGGCAGGGCCACCGCTTCCAGAGGCACTCCCTTTGGATGTCTGTTAACAGGAGCGACGCAATCCAGACCTGTCGTTCCACTCGTATCTGTAATTTTTACTTTATTCTGTCATATTAAGCCGAAGCAAGCCAGTGAAATGTGTTTGCGTTTAAAGAAGAGAGAGGCTTTACGATACAGATGAAAGCTTAATAACAATAATCTGTCGTTCAGTGTAGTCTGGCTTCTTTGTCGGAACCTTTGAACATTTTTTAAGGTACTCTTTTGTGTGCTGCCATTTCAGGCGTTTGAGCGTCTACCTGTGATACCTCTTCTCTCTCTTTAGGGACGGCCCGCAGGAGACGACTCGAAAACTAGGCGTCTTCACGGACGGAGAGCCTAATGACCCACCCAGTAGCACGTCCAATCAGGTGCTGATACGATTCCGCAGCAACACGGAGAAGGGCGGGTTGTTCCGTATTGGCTATCAAGGTATGGAAATGATCTTATTATATTCAAGAATTTCTGAATAATAATTCTGAATAATCTGTGTTTTCACTCCTCTCATATCTGCTACATTGCATAAAGCTTACAGACTTCAGTACTGCCTGCCTCCGCCCATCATTCCTAATGCAGAGATCCTGATGGCAAGCAAGGAATTCAAAATTGGTAGGTGGAAATACTGTCACCTAAATTTCATAGAATACGTGTACCGATACAGACACATAATCACCGCTATCTCGACGCCGCTGTCATTTCAGATTGGATTTGGTGCCATTGTGATTTGGGAAAGTGTGGCATTCTGAACCATTAATCCCAAAGGGAAATAACATCCTGGCATTAACCATTTAAATTGCTTTAGGTGGAGTGAAACTTCCTATAATTTATATTACATGGAGAAGAATGGGAGAGAAATAATCAGAATGGGGGGACGTGGGACCATTGCTCATAACATATTTCTGTTGTCTTCTGTTAAAATGGAGATGATGTGTGATTATCTCTTTATTTTCACTCTTGTATGATTAGTTATTACTCTGAACTACATACGCCACATCCATTGGGAGTTTATTATTATGGTAATTTGTTTCTGCAAATGGTAATTTTCCTTCCTTCTCAGGGAGACCCAAGAATTGCTCTGTGCTAGGATTGGATTTTGTTGTAGCCACCAACCGTACATCTCTGAATTTAACCTCCTTCCTTTCCACCTCTCTGATCAGGTGATATAGTTCGCTACAGATGTCTCCCAGGCTACCAGTTAAGTGGAAATAGCATCCTGACATGTCGACTAGGAACACACTTAGAGTTTGAAGGCCCCCCACCGTCATGTGACGGTAAGTGATGGTGTGCAACTCTGAAATGTTCAGCACTGCCTTTAAATCTGTGTGGATGATCATTTGCACCCCACTTGTAACATAATCTAGAGCTTTGGTCTTGGAATCTCGTAGGTAAGACAATTTATTTAGCATTTTCTATGGTGTTCTTGAAAGGCAGCACAATATATAAAAGATATTTACTATTCATTGGACATATTTTTTGTTAATTCAGTTAAATTCTGTATCTGACTTGACACAAACAGCTATTAGTAAACTTATGTCTTGCTCTTGCCAATTATTTATCAGTATCATTTAGCTCTTGTGCTAGGCTAGCAATAGCATCTTTCTTCTCATTTTTAATATGACTCGTTGACGATTAGACTCAGTGCTGTCCTAGTTGGTCGTGTATTGTCAAATCATCCCAGAAGAACAAACAACACATTCACACTTGAAACGACAAGCGTTAATGCAGACTCCCTCACTGAATGTTATTGTAAACCCTTGGAGTTTCACAGAGAAAGGATGAGTTCTAATAGTTCACCAACATCATGGTAAAAGAATCGAGTTTAATCTAGAACTCCGATAGTGATTATCTAAAGAAAAAAAAGTCTCGGAATCGCTTCAGGACACCGTCAATCTATATTCACTTTCAAAAGACTGGAATATAACCAACAAATGCCAGAGAAACTGCAGTCTTGAAGAATATATTGGTTTTATTGGGTGAGAAATAACTTGAATGCTGGTTTAAAAGCTAATAGGTCTGTTTTGATAGAAAAACTTGACATTGATGTAAAAACTCTAATTAGAATGTTGCTGCACATGTTAAGACGGCCATCGTCTACTGATTGAGGTGTTTTGTGTATTTATTTTCAGTTGTGCTTTGTCTTATTAGTCCAGTTATTTATAGACTGAAGCATTTATCTGTGTTTTGCCATCTTTCCGTCTTCCACTGGGGATCTGTTGTCATGAAGCAGCACAGCAACCACATTTTTTTGTAGATACCGCTTCTTTGGCTTTTACTCTACTCCCAGGAGGTTAGCGATGATTCCTGTAGAGACTGCTACAAATATGGTCGCCCCAAAGGATCCCCCTGCACCCCATGCACAGCCTTAGATTAATACTATCTGTTGTATAAAATGCATCTCTGGGAGCCTCAAGGGGTTTCTCTGCTTTTTTTTTCCCTTTTTTGAACTTCACAAGATCACAATCGTATACATCTTTTCTGTTCTAGTGGTGATTTTCACACACTAAATGCTTCTTGTCTCTCCCTGCTGGGTAGTAGTAGAAGAGTACATTTGTGTGTGTCCTTTGGACTTAATAACAGCTAAAGCTTACAAGTGAAGGACACTTACCATTTAAATACTACCAATTTGGAGTACAACAGACAAAAAAGAAATGAAGTGAAAAGGATAAGAAAAAACCCAGTGAACAAAAAAGAAGTGTAAAATCTATCTTGACATGAAAACTCGAGTTTATGTAATTTCCCATTTTCCTCCAAGTTCTTTTTGTACCTTACCCTTGGATATTTGCACCTGCTAAAGTTCAGACTTCATGTAACCATGAGCAGCATCCCACACTTTGTGCAAACATATTAAATGTTATAAAGGGATGTATCACCTTGCAGATTCCCTGTCGTTTCCCAATCAATTATTATTATTATTATTAGTCCTTCGAGCAATAGAAGGGTAGCATCATAAGGTTAAGGTTTTTGGAAGCAGAAAACAAGAAGAGAGAGAGGATAAAAGAAGATGGAAAGTATCAGAACAGCATGAGTCAGCCCTGGATGAGCTGGCCCTCATAAAGTAGAACGGTTGGTATTTTCTAGAAAAGGTGGAGGAGTCGCCAGAAATGTAGTGCATAAGGAAAGAATAGGGCTGGAGTTTAAAGGTAGGTGAGAAAGAGGGCCGTAGTTGGAGGGCAGTGAAGAGACGACATGCACAGCTCATTGAAATGCAGGGGACATACTGGCTGCAGCTGCACCTATCAAATCACCACTTCTAGCTCTGACAGGCACAACCATTTCTGCCCATCTAGGGGCATCCAACTACTCCACCCCCACAAACACCACCTCACAGATTTTACACACTATATACCGCCGGCCTACACAGTGCATGTTATCATTCAGTGATGGTCTTTCAGATAACCGGAGTCGGTTCTGTATTCTTAGCACCGGTATACCCACTCAACCTGACTCACGAGCATCAGACATCTGTTCTTGCATAACACATGTACCCTTTATATATTCACTTTTTTTTTCCGCTTTGAAATTTGTCATTGTCTGAGGCTCTTTTGAAAAAAAAAAAAAAGAAAAAGAAAAATAACAATGTCATGCATTGGGTGTCTGTCAAGACCCAGATCTGTCTATTTCTGCCTCTGACTTTTCTGTTCCCCAAAATAGTGTTATACAGACAGATGAATAAAATCTACATAAAAAAGCGAACAGTACTTTTAACATATAAGTTAAAAGAAAAACACTAGCAGGCCTTTATTTTGATTTGAATCATACTATTAATTTAAAAAAGTCATTATTTCAGTAATTCAACTACCTAACAGTAGTAGCCCACTTAATTTTGAACATGCAATATAACTATTAAAATGAACTGAAATACAACATATTTCTTTGTGTGTGATGAATCCATGAAATGTCTGATCCTCGTTTTGAATTGACTATCATAAATAACTATTTTTAGTGAATTTTTTTAGCACTTTATTTGAGTTTGCTGCCTTGTATAAGATCCACTGCCCATTACATTTACTCTCTAGTGTGAGCTAGACTTCACAGTAGACAGAACTGTAATATAAGGTCAACTTTTTTGTTGTTGTTGATGAAAACAGCACAGTTTTCCATTTTTGATATTTTTTGATAAAAACCTGCTTTCTCCACAAAAATGGTTTACCAGAATTATTGCAACATTAAACTTTATTTTTCAAACTTGCTTCTCCCCGCTGTTTTAGTCTTCATCTAAATGCATTCCTTCTGACACTTTATGAATCTTACGTCTCATCCCCGACTCTGAGTTTTCAGTCTCGATCCAGTCTAATGTTTATGTTGTCCTCAGTTGCCCCTGATTAAATGCCATGCCAAGTAAAATCCAGCTGAATGCAGATAAAAATCAGCATTTACGCGTATCCAGTAACAGAATGGGCATCTATTATTCCCAGTGTTTTGTTTCAAAATTGCAAAGTATTAAAAAGTAACTCAACATTTGCGGACTCAGCTATATCTTTTGTCAGCTCCAAGACAAAACAAATGTAGCCTTGAACTCACTGGCGCTTCCTGAAAGGTACTTAAGGTTGGTTGTCACCCACTTGTTGGGTAATAACGTTTAATTGTGTTTTACATTTTTGTCCTTCCTTTGGATGAATTTTCTATTTAGATAGTGATAGCTGACATTAGGGTTTGTATTTAAGAGGTTGGCTCTTGAACAAGAACATTCAGTTTTTCTCACTTTAAGACTGGTAAGTGCTGAAAGCTCCTTTACCTTCAGGCAGAAGAGGCTTAGGTATTCAAACAGTGCCTCACAGTGGGGACATTTACATCCCCCAGTAGATTTTCTGCAGTCTTGTTTGATAAACACTTTAATCCACCTCTTGGTACATTAACTTTGAAGTAGTTTTACTCTCTTTCTAAAAAATTATGGATTTGTTTATTTTCCCTTTGATTTTATTTGTTATTGTCGCTTTTGGTCTTTTAAAAAAGATACGTTTACGGTCTCTTGCAGAAGTTTCCGAAGCCTTTATGATTTTGTCACATTTTGTCACACTTCAGCCGTGAGCTTAATTATATGCCACTGGGATGTGATGTACTAGACGCACACAAAGTAGCTTATAATTATGTTGCTTCATTTGTCTTTTTTTTGTTGTTGTTGTTTTTTGTTTTACAAATAAAAATATTAAATGCCCTGAGCTAGTTCTCAGTCCAGCAGCAAGTTTTTCAAATTTCAGAATATATCACAAATTTGACCAAATACGTTTCTGAAAATGGTGGTGATTGTATGTTCAAACCTCATTAACTCTGATGAGCCTAAATAAAAGTAAGTAAAATTGCCTTCATTAGTCGCCTAACTGGTGAATAGGATCCCCTTATGTTTTATTTAATATCTGGATTGATGCAGAAGTTTTGTGATGATCTCAGGTGTTTGTAAAAGAACCTCAGTGGGCAGTCACCATCTTTGAGACCGAGAAAAACACCAGATGGGTTGTTAAACAATGTCCCAAGATTTGAGCATCTTTCAGATCACTGAAATGAAAATTACTTGGCAAACCTGCAAACCTACTAAATAAGGTTGTCTACTGAAACAGTCAATAATGACGAGGGCAACACTGACAAACAGCCAAGATGGAAAATTGTGGTCTGGTCAGATTGAACCAAAATTTTTCACCGAGATGCACTTTTCAGATTATATAATTTTCTTTGTTTTATATTTATGCACAACTTTACATTGACCTAATTCACAAAACACTATGAAATGTGAAGTTTGTTTGTAAAATGAGAAGAAATGAAAATGATCTGAAAACAAATCCCAGCGTAGGAATCATTTATGCTTTATGAGAAATGCATACTAATTTCTTCTCTTCATTGTGGAATATTTCACAGTTTATCAGTGCCAGTGCCAGGTGGATACAGTAAAAAAAAAAGAACTCAACAATGCAGTGTCGCATTGTCTCACGACAAACAGTGCATCTCATCCTTTGATGCTATAGCTTGTCTTGGGTAGCACCAATGTTCTGGCGGATAATGCCATTGTTTTCTTGCAGCACTGCAACAAAAACAGAGCAGATAGGAACATGGCGAAAACACGACTGAAACGTCTAGAAAATGTTGAAGGATTTTGAGGAGATGAATTCTGGTGACAGCAAGGAAATGTGATGAGGGGAAGGATCTAGTTTGCCCAGACATGCCACAGCAATAGCGCTTCCAGGCTGACGTGAGACTCGCCCCGCCAAGTTAGCTCCACATCTGTCACGCTGACAATGGGCAAAGGAGTGAATACGCTCATGGCGAGTCAATGATATTAAACATAAGCTGTTTAGCAGTCTGAGTTGGCATGCATTAAGTTTGTTTTCCTGTGACGGCACCCAGACATGAATGACAATTAGCCTTCGCCATGCTTTTAGTTACATTGAATTTCTCTGCAGCAACAATGTGAACCTAAACAATCCAATTTGTGCTTCAAGGTAAATTGAATTCGCCAAAATGAACGAACAATCACTCGACGTGATCTGCAATTATAAAACGATGCCGGCAAAACATAAACAGGATCATTATTTCAATGCTTCAAAATAATAGCTCCTTTTGTCTCGCTCTCTCTTTTTCTTTTTTTTCCTCTCCCCAGTGACGTGTCCGATGAATGAGGTGCTGACGGCTTCCACGGGCGTCATTATGAGCCAGTCGCCAGGCACCGGCTTCCCCCATTTCGAGTCTTGCTCCTGGGTTGTTAAAGTGGAGCCCGGCTACAACATTACCTTCACTATCGAACACTTTCAAACCAGCCGTCAGTTTGACGAGCTCGAGGTCTTTGACGGTGGGTCTCGTCGCTTCGTCTACGATCGCATGTGTTTGTGAAGACAAATTTAATCCGACCTCATTGCCGTTTATGACCTATATCGTTCTCTGATAACACTTTCTTAATGTCCATAGAGTTGTGGAAACACTACTTTTTCCTCAGAAAGCCTCAGTTAAAGGCTAAATAAACCAGGCAGCTAAATAAACTGTCTCTAACAAAGCTATCTGCCTCCACTAACAGAAAATCACACACAGTTCCCCTTTCATGGTGGCAGAACATCTGCATCTTCCTTGTACATTTGAATTTGATTAGAGGCAAAGTCAGCAACTCTGCCCGGCAGCTCTGAGAAAATGGTGGTGGGATACAGAACGGCGATGCTGATTAGTACTTTTTATCTTCTGCCGACTGGAGAGGAACAGGCAATTGTTAACCTTGAGGCTGCTAAGCCAATTATGGTCTGCAGTCGTCTTTTCTTTTTTTTTTTTTCTTCCACAGTTTAAGAGTTCAACAAACTTCATTTGCAACTTGGCGCAATTCATAACAAATGAAGTATTTTGAGATTTTTACTGTGTGAAAAGTCTGGACCTGCTGAATGATAGATCCAGACTTTTGATTTACCTTAAAGTTCTTTTTGTTCCTTTTTTCAGCTTTTTGAAACTTTTGTCGTTCGTCGTCATATCTTCATCCAGGTCCATCCAGACAGAGCCCGCTTCTCATTACCCTCAGTGGTAATTATTCCAGCCCGCTGAGCATCACAAGCTCCAGTAACAAAGTCTACCTGCACTGGTCTTTTGATCACACCACCAGCCACAAAGGCTTCCGCATCCGCTACTCAGGTAAGGGCCAGAAATTTCCGAACGCTGCCTCATCACGCCGTGATCGATTGGCCGCGTGGAAGCTATTTCGGACTTGTTATTTTTAGGGCCTTGTTGTGAGTTTGATCTCATTAGTTGTGTGTTTAATTTACTTTTCCTTTAAGACCGGCATCTGGGCTGCCAACTGTGCCGTAGACAGCCAAAAATATGACCCAGCTCTGTGAGAGCCTAATGGGGGCAGCAGGCATCTGCACCGACATCTTGCTGTGTGCCAAGACCTAGGAATTAGCAAGCGTGGTTTCATGCGTTGCTTGTTGCTTATTACTCCTCCGTTTTGTCCTGCTCCCATGAAGGATTTGTTGGTATACGACACCTGCATAACTTGCTGTGAATTATGACTGTGTAAATATTTAAAAGGCTCCCCCTGTTCTGTATCAACACCACTCAGCCAGATTGACTAATTGTCTCTCTCCTCCCTTTGCTGGAGTTTTCTGTCTCCCCAGCCGGATGTTCTGTCATCTCTCTCTTCTGCTTTTTCTCCTGCCTCTTTCACTTTTTAATTGTTTGTTTCGAACACTGACGGTTTTCGTCGTGACGGATTAAATGACAAACTAAGTGATCCCTGAGAACCCAGAAGTTACCATGGTCAATATGGAATTGCCTTCTGGTGTACCTCTGTGGGAGGAAGAAGAAGGAAAAAAAAAAAAAACAGATGGCACTGATGCATTCAATAAATTCAGCTATGCTACTCATCAAACCGCGTTTCCTCTCCAAGGGCAAGTCTTCCATTAACAACTTGCAGCAGTGTCTTGTTGCAATTCACGCGCTCGGTTTTCTACAGTTATTTTCTATCAATTTCAACTATCACTGTTTCTATCTCTCTGTTTAGGTGCATTCATTTTCTCCATCACTTCAATCAACTTTGAGTCAGCCTGACCTTGTCCGCTCAATCTTTCTTTCTCCTGTTGTTTATCTATTTCAATTTAGTCACCACCCTCTGCAGTCAAAGTTATTCAAAGTTGCAGGGCTGATTGCAGAAAAGGAAACTGTTGTTCTGTCTCATGCTAGAGAAAGGAAAGGGAAATAAAAATAAAAAAAAGCAGCAGATGGGCTAATGATTGAGAACCTGCTGGCATTTATTGGTACCCCAGGTGGAGATGTTAGAAAAAGGCATGCAAATGTTGAGAGAGGCACTCTTATTGGTACCTATGCTGCTAATGCTTTTTTTTTTTTTTTTTACAACCATTTTTGGCCATGTTTGGGGAGAATTAAATTTTTACCCATGGTTATGTAAGTTTTAAATATGGAGAACCATCACTGTGTTCATTGTCTATGTTTTGATAATAATCTTATTGAAAGACCCAACGGCAACGCATTTAGTTTATTCAGTATTCCATGTACTCTAAAGTTTCCAGTACATTTTTAGAAGATAGCTACAGTACTCTAAATCCCCTCCCTTTCTTAGCTCTAGCAGTTAGCGTACAGTGCTTTTTCACATGTTCCTCTTATGTTTTGTTGTCAAAAGGTTCAATCAATCTGACCAAATTGTTTCAGTCTAAGTTTTAGTGGAAGTTGGCAAACTCGTTTACCAACTAATGATAAAGAACAAACTTCTTCACCCTCTAGTGGTCTTGCGGATGCTTTTGGTTGTGTACTAATTAAAAATGAAAACGTTGATGGCTTTTATCCATATGGGGGTCTTTGGAGGCATTGAGAATTTGCCTTTTGTTCACAGCATGGACAGTAAGCATTTTAGTCATTTGTTAAATTGCTACCAAAGCACTCTGTCCATGTGCTGTTGATCTTTTCAGAAAAAAATATTTTTACAATAAACCCAAGTATGAGATTCTTCAATATGTTTGACAGACTCTCTGTCCCCTTAAAAGACTATTAAAATCTTTGCCTCTTTGAAAGACATAATATACTGTTAAAAAATGTTTTATGTCCATAACTAACCATCTATATTGGCTTAGTATTTTTATACTATTGGGGATTTTGCATGGTTATATCCTTGATGTTAAAAAAACACAATATTTTAAATTGTTGCTGCAATATGAGAGCTGTAAAAATGGCAAATTTGCATTTTTATTGAAATTTGATGTTCTCATAATAATTTTCCACCCATACTGAACACAGTCTTCTCTTCTCATTACACAGTGTTTGTAGAGTCTGTGTTCTGTTACCGTCTTTCTGCAGCTGACGCGTCGTGCTCCCGCATTATTGGGGAAATCTGCTAAACTCCACTTGGGCTCGTGAATCTTCTCGATCCGTTGTGGCACCATTTGCAATGACAAATGATTATTGCCGTTACCAGTTTAACCAAAGTCAGATACTTTGTTCCCATCATTATGTATCCATCACTTTTATGATGCTCATCCACAGCTGCTGACAAACACTCATTTTGCTTTGCAGTACATTAGTTTTCAATAATCAATTTTCCTCATCTCGAGGCAGCAGTGTTTGCTGTAACCTTTCCCTCAGCACAAGACCAAGACGCAATAGAGATCTTTGGCTCTGTCGTTAAACGGGTATCCATTATTCATCCTCTCAACAACTTCTTACATCACCTTGCATCATTGTTTTTTTGTTGTTGTTTTTTTAACATGTCATGCTTTTGTGATTATATAATGAGTATTTACTTCTTTCTCCATAGCGCCCTACTGCAGCCCTCCAAATAACCCAGTAAATGGCACAGTGCACAGCCTGACCGGGTCCAAGCTGGGTAGTACTTTACGCTTCAACTGCGACCATGGCTTTCGACTTATTGGTCAGACCAGCGCCACATGCACCCGGACAGCGCAGGGGATCCATCAGTGGAATGCCCCAGTACCTCTTTGTCAAGGTAAAGACCTCTATCACGCTCTGTCAGGAACTAGAGATAGATCAGAGACTGAATTTTTTCTTCTTTTTTTTTCTTTCTTTTTCTTATCATGTCAGTCAAATCGCTTTGCAGAGATTCATCAGAGTAGGATATTTTATCATTTTAATGCACATAATGTCAAGATGTGATCGGTGCGTTATAAAACGTCTTATAACTGATGACCTTAAGTCTGGCATGCCGAACAGAATATCACTGCAAATCCACTTTGTGAGCTGCATCTCTCAGGTTTAAACTGATTGAGGGGAAAAAGTCTTACAGAATCCTTTTGCTTCGGATCAAAGGGTGATTGCGGTTGACAGCACGGCATCACTAGCAGCTCCTCAGCCTAAGGCATACCTCCAGGAAGTTTACTTCACCACTTTTTTGTCCCTTTTTAAAGATTCAGTGGAAACTTAGTGACATTTCAATTACTGGATTTTAGTCCTCTTGTCATACCTCACATACGTATTTTTTTTTAGAAATTATCATTTGAGGGGTCTTTTTTATTAATTGAGTAGGTCATAGTGAGGATTTCAACTTTTGGAGAAAAATATCTCAAAACAATAATTACTATTTGTCAGATAATAACATTTGTTGTTAAATTTAATGATGTTTGCTTTTAAATCAAATATTAAAGCATGAAATCTAAAAATGGATTTCCACTATTTGTTTTCAGACTGGCACACGCAATTAGAGCAAACGTTGAGTGCGCACACAGTTCCATAACAGGTGTACTCATCCATAAAAATTACATTTATCCTCTGCCGACTTTGATTGTTTGCTGTTGTGTGAACTGAGTTCCATGCTAATGTTTGCGGCTCATTCGTGCCTTCTGTGAGTGTTTTTGAGAACTCAGCACTTTGCATACAAGGATGACAAGTTATTTTGCCTGTGTTTTATTTCCTCTTACTGTTTTTTTTTATATTGCATTAAATCTTACTCAACTACCTATCAATGTTTTATTTTGTAGTCATGTCCTGTGGAATGCCTGTTGCCCCCGTCAACGGCAGCATTGTTGGCCAAGACTTCTCTCTTGGGGCCAGGGTCACTTACCAATGTAATCCAGGGTTTCGGCTTGCTGGTCCTCTCACCACCTCAGTGGTCTGTCAAGAATCTGGGCGGTGGAGCCCCATCGAGGCCCCTCCAAGATGCGTTCGTGAGTTTTTCTTCTGCTGTCTGGTTAAATTTGAAATCTTCAGAAGCACAGGAACCACATGTGTATTGTGACGCCATTATGGTTTCCTTTTTAATTTACCACAACCCGGTTAGAATCTTACTGTGAATTAGTTTTTCATGAGCTCAAATGGAAGGGAGGTAATAATTAGTTCCCCCACTATGTTGTGCATTTTTTTAACTTAAATCCGTCAAACATGTGCTTAGCATAGACATTTTGAGAAAACAGTCCAAGTGTCTTCAAGGCCAACACTTAGGATAATGGTAAGCATTTCACTGACATAGAAACTCCTTTTCTCATGCTAAGCCAACTAAACATCCATCATCACAGTGACGTAAAAACAAAGATATAGAGAAATCTAACATTCCCCTGTGAATAAATAGAAAGAAAAATAAATGGAGTTTCTGTAACAAGTATGAATAGCACTAACGTATATCTCAGGCAATAGTTTGACAGGATCCAGACTTTATTTGTGAGTTTTCCATAAAGAAAATTCAATGTGATTGCTGCGAAGCTACAATGTATTTTTATAGCTTTATATCACTGTCACTGCAATAAAATGTGCTTTGACGGTACGCAGCTCATTAAATCCTTCATATACCTAGGATTGTACCACCTCTGTTATTGTGTGTGTATTTAGTATTTTTGTTTTAAATATATAAAATGGAAAGAAACAACTTAACTTGATTTGCTAAAGCCAATTATGTGATTTTGTCGCTGTACACAGCAATTAGAAAACCCAATAGAATTTGCAGTTTCTAACTAGAACACAGTTAAGCTGGGGGGGGGGGCGTGTTATGTTAGCAAAATCCTAATGTTGGATTTCAGAGATAAATTGATTGAATAAGGTGTAAGTAACAACAAGCAACTATTTTTTCTTCTCCACATGAGTTTATAACTGGGAGTTTTTGAAAAATTATCCTCCATTTGTTTGTAAAATCTCATCTTTTTAAATCATTGCTCTTGAGCAGATAACTATTTTTGGATGGTTCTGCTTATTGGACCATGTGAGAGCTAATGACATTAGCATTTTACCTTGTTAACAGTTCATACCAAAATTTCTTCTGAGTACCACAAAGAACAGGCCAAGTGCTATCACTGGTATTGGTACCACATTTTGACACAGGCACTAAACAAAATGGAATTTATTTTTATTCCCTAAATTTGATTGTCTCTTTAAAACTTCATTTGATATTCATGAAACCTTTACTGTTTTGTGAAGACACACCAAAGAGACAGTAGGACTAGCACAGTATTAAACAATTAAAAATTGCAATTTATAAACTTGTCAAACCTGAACTGACTTATATTATCTTCATATTACCTTATTAATACAGTTTGTGATTAAGTTTTTACTCTTATTCTTGAGAAGAAAGTGGGGATTCTTAGTCTTTCGCTGTGAGCTGGATGCATCATTCCACTCCAAATAGACGCCCAACACAGTTCAGTCTTCAGAAGACAAACTAGTGACTGTTAAATATGTAAAAAAATTCTCTTACTTCATAGCGGTCACCTGCGCCGACATCAGCCACTCTGCTGTGGAGCACGGAAGATGGAGACTAATCTACGGCACTCAAAACCAATATGATGCCATAATGATGCTCGTATGTGACCCGGGATATTACTACAGGGGTCAAAGGATCATTCGCTGCCAAGCAAATGGCACCTGGAATTACCCTGATCCTCGCCCGGTCTGTGACAGTAAGTTAGAGCTGTTGCCTTTCTGCGTCTGTGTATTACTAAAGATTTCCACTCAAATGTAAGCAACATAAATGCAACCAAATTCATTTACTTTCATATCCAAGTCCTCTAACATGCAAAAAAATGATTTTGAATCTTATTGTCCTAATTGGGTTTTATTTTATTCTTTTATTTCAGTTATTTCCTGTGGAGATCTTGGCACTCCTCCAAATGGTCATAAAATAGGAACTTTGACTGTATATGGAGCCACAGCCATTTTCTCCTGCAACACAGGATATACCCTAGTGGGCTCTCGGGTCCGAGAGTGCATGTCCAATGGGCTTTGGAGCGGAACACAAGTTCAATGTCTAGGTGAGCTCTTCAGTCCAAAAAATGACAACAGTAAAAAAAAAAAAAAAAAAGTCAGAGTCTACCACGTTTAACCGTCTTCTTTTTTATCGTTTTGTTTTTAGCTGGCCATTGTGGCACTCCAGACCCAATAGTCAATGGGCAAATAATTGGGGAGAACTTCAACTTTCGAGGAAGCGTCGTGTACCAATGTAACCCAGGGTTTCGTCTTATTGGTGTGTCAGTGCGAATATGCGAGCAGGATCACCGCTGGTCAGGAAACACCCCCGTTTGCGTTCGTAAGTTGCCTCTCTAAACAGCTGTTTGTATTTGCTCATACACCGCTGGGCGGTGTTGAATTGAGACTTTTGTTGCTGTGGATGTTTGTTAAGCAATTTCTTCTTTAGATAATCATTTTATATCTGCATGTACTATGTTGTTCAAAGTTTAAAGCAGTTTGTGTCTTTCAAAAATTTGACTTGGGTTGTATATCAATGACTCCTATCATTTGACTCTCTCAGCCATCACATGCGGCCACCCTGGAAATCCTACATTTGGCACAACCCAAGGAACCCAGTTCAACTTAAATGACGTTGTGCGTTTTGTCTGCAATACTGGATATGTTCTGCACGGGGCTGTTAAATCTACATGCCAGGCCAATGGACAGTGGAACAATGCCCTACCACGGTGTAAAAGTAAGTGACAAGAAGATCGTCTGTGCGTTTATTTACTGATTTCAGCAGAATTGTATGGATATGAAATATTTACAAAAAGTTGACGATGTTCTTATTTTGCTTCTGATAAACAGTTCAATATGTTAGAAAACATTGGTTTTTTTCCATTCCTTTGAAAATATGCATTCATGGAGAAGAGGTTTTTCAATGTACAGCATCTTTAAAAAATACTCATATTGCTTGAACATTGCCAGATTTTGTCAGTAATGTGAAAAAATGGAGGGTGTATTTGTTTTCATCCCCCTACTCTCATTCCAAGGAATTGCCAGAAGTCGCATATCTACTGAATATAGACCAGAAGACTGATATTCCAAATGTGTGTAATTGCAGCTACTCTTGTTAAAAGAATATTAGTGAAACAACATCATAAAGAAACAAGGAACACAGCAGGGATAAAGTTCCGGAGAAGCTTCAAATAGGGTTAGATTATGCAACAGTATCCCATGCTTTGAACACCTCATGGATCATGTCACCCCCAATGCAGAAACACCACGATGAGACATGGCAGTGGTAGCATTATTTTGTTAGGATGTTTTTCCAGCAAGGACAGAGAAGCTTGTTTGTTTATTTGTTGAATAGGACCATGTGCAGGAGCATTAATCTCAAAGGAAAATATGCCTGGTACCACATGTTAGCTCTCACAGCTAATTTCCATCTGCAGTCCTTGATGCACAAACACATGTATCGCACAAGAACAGTACAAAAAAAAAAAAAACACACCACACACAAATCAATGAGAAAATGGATGGACGTAAATACAAAGCAACCCTTTAATCTGTTACAAAACTTGAAAGCTGCACTTCAGAGGCTCTTCATTCAATCTGACTGAGTTTGAGCTGTTGTGTCAACAAAAATCTCTTACAAATGCACAAAGCCAGTGAACACATACCCCTAAAAATGTGCAGCTCCAACAGTAATGAAAGACTGTTGAACCAAGTTTATTTCCCAGGGGCTAACGACAAATGCAACATCTAAAAGTATCGAAAATGTTCCTCCTCTTAGCAAATTCCATTTTATTTTGTGTTTCTGTTTTTGACACAAAAGTACAAATATAACCACACTTTAGTATGCGGTTGTTGTTTTAAAAAATGTACAAAAAAAATGCAAATCATATGAATACCTTTGGATTGCAACATAACATTAAAGAAACGGCTTCTTACACACCTTAGCTGAGCGTTGGTATAATGTTGGCCCTTCATCTGAAGGAGGAATCAGATTAAGAAAAATGTCTAAATTCCACAGAGTTGCTCGTGGACTTAACATTTTCTTTTTATATTTTCACACATTTGTGTGGGTGAGTGCTAAATTACCTAACAAAATGTGTGAAGCCATATCTTCTTTGACCATAGGTGACCTTAATCATAGAGTGTGTGGAAATGAAGCAAAGAAGCACCCGGGGGAGAAGGAATTTAACGGACTTAACGTTTAGGGGAAGCTCAAATGAAAAATTAAAGAAGAGTCCAGTTTATTTAATTACATAGGCCTCAGTCAAATGGTCCGTGGAGGTTCCACATAATATTTCCAGTTGACTTTTTTTTTTTCCTCTCTCAGCCTCACTACCTCTTCATCCCCTAAGGCAAACATGCGTGTCAGGGAAACAGTGTTAGTTAATAGCCATGCAGAGACAAATCCAAAGACAATCACCAGATCCTTGAGGTTGCATAAAAGACAGCAGTCTGTGGAGACCTGCATTTGGGTTTTTGCTCAGAATTACAATTATTCAGCTCTGCTTCGCATGAGTCGGGCAAAGACTCTTAATTTGGCAGCGTTTTTGCAACAAGTAATGTATCTCTGCTCCTGTGTCTGTGGATAAGTCGTTTTCTATCTGAAGGCTTTGTGACAGAAACCGACAGGGGCTGCTTGCAAAGTCGGGCCCTAAATGTGACAAGCGGTGACGGAAAACTTGTCTGATTGACTTCCTGAGTTTGTTTTAAATGAGACAAAAAGGGATTTAGTGTCTTTTCAATACTTTGCTGGAGTGATGGGAAGGTTACAAGTCTTGCAGGCATCCGTCATTATTTTTTCCTATTTTTTCTTTCTTTCTTTTTTATAAGAAGAGTTCATTTTCCTGCTGCATACATTTCCTTCCAGACATGCGTCTTAGAATCTCTTCACTTTAGCAGTGACATCATATTAGCATCAGCCTTGTTTCAGCCCAGATGCTTATTCTCAGGCACATTTTATGTGAAAACTGTGTGTTCCTCTACATGTGTGTGTGTGGATGGATGGGAACGGCATTTTTGATGTCTATTATCCTCACTTTTGATGTGAAGACATAAGCAGCTTACAAGTCTTTTTGTCAGTCAGATTTATTACATTAATTACAGCCATAGTGACACATTTGGTAAAGTGTGGCCCTCGCTTTTTCTTCCTGAGCAGCAAAACTGTGCTGGCATCCGCTTCATCCATCTCACTCTTAGTCTCTCAGCTTTGAGTGGGAGAAAAACAAATGGGAAGCAGAAAACGTTAGTAAACAAATGCCGTCGTGAAGGCCGAGGAACAAAGCAGACATGTCAGCAATAAAGTTGTGGAGAAGTTTAAAACGGTAGTAGATTACTAAACAATATCCCATTTTTTTAAAGCATTTCACAGAACGGTACTCGGTTCATCATTCGAAAAAATTGAAAGGGCAGCACAACTGCACAGGTGGTTGAATCTGTCAACAGGAAGGCTGTTAGGCATGGACTACCCAAATGACAAGAATGTAGGAGATGCAGCACATATTTCAAAGAAGGTGCTCGGGTCAAATGAGACCAAAATTAACATGTCTGGCCAAAATGTCAAATATTTGTGAAGAAAAACTAACAATTCACCTTTTCACACCTGCTTATACTGCCACCACTGTGTTTTGTGGGAGCATTATGCTATGACAATGCTTTTCTTTGCAAAGCATAGAGGAGTTGATAATAGTTGATGGATAAAAAGGAAGAAACTCAATATAAAGCTATCCTGGAAGAAATTTAAAAGCTGGTGTTACAGGAAAAAGCCCAGAATTGCGTTGGGATGATGTAGATCAAAGTATCTCTGTGTTGCAACGGCTCATTGAAAGTCTAGACCGAAATCCTGTGGAAAATATTTGGCAAGAGTTGAAAACTCCTCTACAGACATTCTCTTCCCAAGCTAATCCTAGACATCATTACCAAACCATAATTTAATGGTTCAAATTTAAAAAATCCAAAATTAATATGCAAAACTGATAGAGTAAAGGGTTGCACCAGTTTCTTGGCACTAAACAGTATTGGCCAATGTTTTTTTAACCTTTTGTTGATAGGTTATTAATATCAGCCCAAATGTTTGCATCGTCACATCCTTTGTAGAGATATATCCCAAAGAACTACAGATGTAATGAACTCTACAGTTCAGCTTTAAGCTATAAAATCTATAGGCTTTTATATATTTGTACTTGTGGTTTGGTGTGAGCAAGAATGCTGAGAGGAAATAATGCTACACTTCGGATGCGTCACCTACCGAGGGAAGAGAGGTTGACGAGGGTTTCCCACCTTTGATTTGAACTGAAATAAATTACCTCTTCTACTTCCCTTCTCACCTTCCTCCTTTGTTTTCCTTTTATAACTTTCCTTCTTCCTCACACGCTGGGGCCACACAGAAATTTACCAGGAGGTCAGTCAGTTTAGACAGCCGTTGGAACCCTTTTCAACACGCCACGCACTAAGCACGTTTAATGAAAGCCAAGTTTCCAAGCTTAGAATGCCCCTCTCTGAAACCGCTCTGTGGCTTCAAAGACACTTTGTAGAGTTATTATGCAGTAAGTTGTAAATGATGGCACCACAGGTCAGCACTCTTCTGGGAGGAATACATTATAAAAAATATTTGGGGGGTTATTTAGCATAGCTGGACAGCTTGGGAGCATGAAAATGAGCAAGCTTTTACACACATTAGAATACAGTAGGTTCATTTTGGCTGGAGCAAAAACACATTTATTGGAGTGCGGTTGGCAAGGCAAGCTGGGCTGGAATAGCTGCAGGCAAACTCTGAGTGTGTTTTGGAAGCCATTAGGGTGTTAGCATCACTCTATATGTGTAGGTATAGGCTAAATGGCAACTCTGACTTTGCTGACTTTACTGAGATAATGGCTGACAAAATGTATGCGTGACTTGGTGATTGTGATTGTTACTGGTTAGCACTCTGTTAAAATATTAGCTTCTTGCAATCCTTATAATTTGATTCACATTTCCTTCCTCAACTACCTGTGAGGTCTCCATCCATCTCCGTCGCTGTCTCTCAGCCAAAGAGACTACCGATTGTAAGGGAATGCCACAGCGTTCAGTCTATATAATTTATTAGTTTATCTAACAGGGATAATGTTTTTATAATTGTCCCTGAAAACTTTGTAAAATCAGATTTTTAAATGCGGTTTTTAAATAAATCTTGCTCCTAAGAATTTTCATTTTTCTCTCTCTGTCTCCGTTTCCTCTGCCCCATTAATGCCGGCAGTTGTAAACTGCACAGAGCCCGGCCATGTAGAGTACAGCATTAGGCAGGTATTATCCAGCGGGCCCCATCGGTACAGCTTCCAGACCGTGGTGACGTACCGCTGTAACCCTGGCTATTATCTCCTGGGAACCAGCTCCATCTCCTGCCAAGGGGACGGCACCTGGGACCGCTCCTTACCCAAATGCCTGTGTGAGTAACGGAAACAGTTGATTTCTTTTAAGTACTTTGTAAAATGTGGTTTAATTAAAAAAAATATGTATATTTATACTAGAGATGCACGGATTTGTGGTTTTTCCATTTATTAACTGTAGTTAACAGGGTTTAACATTTGTGTTTCTAGCAGCAATCTATTTAACACTTGTTTGCTTCCTTCTCTACTTTGATTGGTCAGTGGTTCTTTGCGACCGTCCCAGCATGCCTCCCTACGCGCAGATCTCAGGTGACCGTCGAACAGTGGGCTCGGTCATCCGCTACAGCTGCATGGGCCAGCGTGGCATCGTCGGAAACACCACGAGAATGTGTCAGCTGGACGGGCAGTGGAGCGGCTCGCCACCGCACTGCTCTGGTATGGGGAACCAGTCACATGTCAATTTGTGTCTGTCTGTGTTCAACCAAATGTCATTTTACGAAGGACTAAAACTTAACACTCAAAATCTTCTCAAATGAGAGTCTGGAACAAGCAGAACTATTACCGTGTCACGACTGAGCCCTCATCCTCTGTCAATTCTTGATTTAACGCTTTATTAATTCAGTTGGGATATCGGCTCCGTTTATATAGACGCCCTCACAGAGCATGACCAACAAATGAAGACTTTGAGTGGCATCTGGTGGTAGGATATTTACAAAATAGTTGGACCAAAGATGGAATTACCCGTCTGCTTCTCAGGCCTCAAGGGCAAGCTGAGTCCCCTCTATAAACTCGTTTTAATTTGCTCTCATTAGACTGAGGAACATCAATGCCGGGTTATGAAGCTGTATAAAAACACAGGCCCCCATACTCCTATACCCCAACAACAATTACTCCAGGGCTCCAGCGTGTTGCACGTTAAACGGCCCACACATCCCCCATATGTGCAAATGCACAGTCACACAGATGGGACAGAAAAGTGAACAAACACAGACGGTATCAAAGAGCTATAAAGTCGTTCGCTTAGGCACACAAGCTGTGTGACAGTAAAGTAGCACTCTGAGAGTTCAATGTCATTATGTGTGATGTTCTCTGATGTTCTCTCAGTGGACAGGTATTATGTTCATATTTATTTGCATGGCCATCTTTACGACTGTCCCATGTGAACGTATTCATGCATTTTGAACTTTTTCACATTTTTGGTATGTTGCCTGCAAACTTGTAAAACATTTACTTTATTGAAGTTTTGAGGGAGTTACTAAACACAAAGTAGTGGATAATTATGAAACTGAAGAAAATCGGTATGTGGGTTTCAAAAATTTCTAAATATAAAGTCTGAAAAGTGTTGCATGTACTTGAATTCACCAAGCAACATTGCGCAAAACTGCCTTTTGCCGAACGTCGCATCTTATGGAATTTTTATGAAGGAGGTTTCCAAATTTGCCATCTTTTTTTACCTTTTAAGGTGATGGATTGAACACTTTGTAGACAATTACTTTCTAGTGCATCCAGAAAGTATTTACACCTCTTACCTTTATCCAGATTTTATGCTACAGGAATACTCCACATTTTATTAAATTAATCTATTTCCTCGAAATTCTATACAAACTTTTGAGATTTTTGTGAATTTTGTAAAAAAATAGAAGACAAAAAAAATCACATTCTGGCATGCATCTGTCTATATATAAAGTGGCACAGTTGACAGTGCAGCTCCCAGCAGAAACACTAAGCATGAAATCAAAGGAATTGTCTGCAGACCTCAGAGAGGATTGTCTTGTGGAACTAATCAAGGGAATTGCGTCGAAAAATGAAAGTGCTGTGAATGTCTTCTGGATGCACTGTAAAGTTTGGAATCTTGTATAATAACCATCCCTGAGTTATAGAATAAATAAACTTAAATAGCAAAGTTAAAATTCTTTAGGATGTAGAAAGCCATCATCGTCTCATTGGATCTTTATGGTATCAGACACTAGTTCTATCATTGTCTTTATTGCACAATTATGTACCAGTCAGCAGAATTCATTTCTGATGTAAGCTCATTAACAAATGTCATATGTATGTTATTTTTTTTTTTTTTTTTTGCTTTGTCCTTGCAGGGGAATCAAATGGTCTGTGTGGAGATCCAGGCGTACCTGTCCACGGCATTCGTCTTGGAGATGAATTTACCGTGAGCAGTGTTGTACGTTTCAGCTGCGAACCTGGTTACGTCCTAAAGGGGTCACCAGAGAGAACATGTTTTTCCAACGGTACCTGGATGGGAACACAACCGGAGTGTCATGGTAAGACATTTGTATTGTATTTGTCAAGGTTTTTCCACTTTGCAGTTACTTGAACTTCCGGTGCTTTGCTATGGCGACGAGCTTTGATCGAGGTGATATTCTGGAAACATCCACAGGAAAACACATTTGAAGACCCACAATCTTACAGAAGCATTAAATATTCTGGCTTAGGATTTACTATCAGAGGAACAAGGGCATTTTGGGGTAAACCAGCAGTTTAATGTTATTTTAAAAATGCTGGCAAATTATGTGAGGATGTGTAAAAAGGCATTTGTTTTGTTTAGGAATAATTTTACATGCACATTTGTCTCACTCAAAAGTGATTGCTATAATATAAACTTTTCCTTTAATAACCAGTGTAAAATTTTTGCAACATGTCCAAGTGATGTCAGGTTTAGTGTAAGGGAACATCTAAAATTAAATTGGTTATTTCTGTGCATATGTGTGAACAATTTAAAGGAAATTCAGTGGATAAACAAACTGAAAGCAAGTTTTTCTTTACAAATTAATGAACTACACAGCAGTTAATGCCTTGCGATATCAAAAAGTTTATTGCGGAGCTTTGCATTATTTTTTATGAAGACACAAGAAAAATATTTGTCTGATATGGGGCCTTCCCACAATCATCTGCTGTTTTATAGACCGTGTCTGGTGAAGCTCTCGACAACTCTCTGTTCTCCTTCACCCCGCACCTCTACCCCCATCCTGGAGCACAACTGCCCCTTGCTTCTCTCTGTGTGTTATGCTCAATAGCCTAGGTTGCCCACCTGTTCTCAGTTGGCAGGGACTTCAAGGGCCAGGCTACATCTGGTCATTATGGGAGGGCGATGCCCCCGGGGTTCTGATGGCCTGGGGCAAACTGGAGACTGTAATGAACACAACTATCGCTTGCGGCTGGACAGACACCAAGGGATTTTCTGTGTAAAAGAGTGTGTCCATCAAAGGAGAGTTACTTACAAAGGAGGATGCACAAAAATGTGATTGTGTCAGGAGTGGACAGATTGAAAACAAACGAGGAAAAAAAACTGATCAGGAAGGTTTTCAGACTAAATTTGGAGCCAACTGAGAATAAATGGCATTGAGACATTTTAACAAATCAACTATGACAAGTCAACTTTTGTCACAATTATGTGAATGGCTTTAGGGCTTTATCTTGATAAGAAAAAAGTCAGTTTTTTTTTAATATGTTAGCATCAGTACCTTTAGCATTTGCCTTCAGAATTTGTTCTTTCATCTTGGTTGTTCTTGTCTTCTGCTCTTCTATTTTTCTCAACAGTAATTTCCTGTGGAAACCCAGGAACTCCACGAAATGCCCAGATCCTTGTTCACGACGGACTGACTTTTTCCAGATCCATCACTTACAGCTGCAGGGAAGGGTACTACTCTACTGGACTGCTTACCCGACACTGCACTGTGAATGGGACCTGGACGGGCAACATGCCAGAGTGCTCAGGTAATTAACAGCCCAAAGATGCACAATCACAGTGACTTCGTCTTTGTGCTTATCCATACAGATTGAAAGAATTATGCCCTGTTTTGCATAATAACTTTGCTACTTAGGTCTCTGTTCAAATGCATGAATATTGCATTTGAACAGAACAGAGAACAGATCTCTGCAGGTCTCTGTTCAAATGCTAACTTGTCAAGTTAGCAGCGTATCTAAACTAGCACCAGAGTTGATCTGTTGGAAAAGCCTCTCTCACAAAAACTGTTTCTATCATTAACATTTCTGTCATCAGCATTTCAACCACAGAAAAATCCCTCTTATTAAGAGTAGTGTTTTGAGTTGTCTTTAGATGGTAGGGCGCTGAAAAACATGCCGAGATAATCGACCCACCCAACCAAGAAAGTCGTTTGTAGATTTGTATTATTTTATATTATAGGCAACTTTTTAAGAGACACGTTTCATTAAATATGTGAAAGTATGAACGCACAGGCATCTCTTTTGTTTCAATGCATTGAAAATCCCCAAATCCTTTATGTTAGAATATTTATGTTAATAATCTTAATCAACAGTGGGTTGTAAAACTATTCTACAACCTTGTTGTGAAGTCACAACCACAAACCTTAGAGTATCTTAATGGATATTTTGTGCAAGGCCGACACATAATAAGAAGTAATAGAAGTTAAAGAAAAAATGTCTTGCTTTTTATTTTTAAAGAAAATCTGAAAAGTGTTGGAATCATTATGTATTGAGCACCATGTCAATATTTTGCAGAACTATCTTGTGCACTGTCATCATGGTTTCAAGACTTTGAGATGTGTCTCTATCAGCTTTACACATTTTGGAGATTTCTTTGTCAAATAGCTCAAACATAAGACTGGATTAAAAATTCCAGTGAACAGCAACATTGAAGAATTGCTGCATTTAGATTTCAGCGTGTTCTATGATTGGACCACTCTCCTACATGGAGCAGCATCCAACAGGTGTTCTTTCAGGGCTCCCTTGTGTTTACCCCCTCTCTTTCTTCCAGTCAACTATGACAAGTTTCCCTGACTGATTCACATATTTATGTTCTTCTCGTCTTGGTAGGTTTGCAGTTGTGCCATGCCTTTTTTCCATTTTTCAAAAGACTGATTGGGCAATTTTCTGAGACGTGCAAAGCTTGAGAAATTGTGAATTTAGCCACTCATGTTTTTTTTTGTTGTTTTTTTTAACATTTCCTCTGACTTTTCTGGTGTGTTCCTTGATATTTATTACGGCTATTATTCCCTAAAGTTGTCTAGGGAACCTTTGAGGTATTCTTAGAACACCAGTATTTATAGTGATATTGAATTATACACAATTAACTTTGATTTCTGATTATATGACTTCTAAAGGTAATTGGTTACACTTTATTTGATCATAGGGTGTGAGCCTAAAGGTTGCTGAATACCAATCTGAGACATATTTTCCAGACTTGTAGCCTATATGTAAAAAGAAATGAATAACCCACTGAATCTGCAATTCAGTCTGTATAAAAGACATTACAGTTATAGAAAAAGGGAGCATTTGTTTCAGTGCATAAAAAAAACAAATAGAAAAGAAGATGATGGTTATGGAAATTTCTGGCATAGGTGACAGTTTTAAGAATATGTGGTTCTCTGGCAGGAAACGCATCATGATCCCTTCGAAAGGCGTGACGTGACAGTTCATTATCAATACATCTCTGAAAAGGCACAGAACTGCTGTACAGAGCCAAGAGCCCCTAGTAAATAGAGGTCAGCCAATCTTCTCAGTGGAGAGGATTAAACCTTAAGCAGAACCACAATGGATTTCAAAGCTCAGAGTTTCATGATTGTGCAGTTACTTGTTACAACTGTGTGACAAAATATTTTTCTGCGTTTAAATGATCTCTGTGGATCCGAAAGCATTATTGAAAGTAAGGCAACCGTGAAGTGGTGAGGGGTCTGCGCTCTCCTCTGTTTTGACGATGCCGACGTAATGCGACTTAATTTTGCAGCTGGTGGACTTGCCACCATACTTGGAGCGTATTGTTAAGCCAGGACAAAGCATGTCTGTGCAGTCTTTTGCACTTTATTGTTACTGCGTAGACAACCTTAGAAAGGCTTTGTGCTTGTTCTAAAAGCATCCTAACAGCCTGATAGACAATAAGTGCTTTCTGGTTCAAGGGAAAGCGCAACACTTCAAAGACGCTTAGTTTCCTTGTCCTACTTACTGGTTGTTCTTGAACATGTGGGATGTACACATTAACAATTCGCTGTTGTCCCAAGGCATCTGTCTGCTAGATGTCAAGTCCCCTGTGTTTTTTTGTTGTTGTTTTTTTTTCCTGTGTAGACATTTACCAATAAAGCTGAGTTGCACTACATTTCACTAACACAGTGGAATCCTCACCGGTGTTACTTTTTGACTCAGTTTTTCCTGCAGTGTGATGTAACACAGTCAAGAAAAACTGTGGGGGGGTTTGCAGCAGCTCCATGGAGCAAATGTAAAGTTACATGTTTACAAGATTTAGTACATCGTGCTGCTTTTGATGTATAGTATGAATAATACCTGAAGAACAGGGATTTCCTAAAATAAAGTGCTAACTGTTGATTAAGACACGCAGAAATTGTTTGGTATTAAATTTTATTAAGTAATTATTTAACTTTGCAACTCCATTATTGCATAATTATTAATATCAGTATTTCACATAAGTAATGTCCTGATAAGATAAGCACAGACATATTTGTGTCTCAGAATCATCCTCTGTAGATAACAGAAACTCTGAAAATAAACTCCTCCAACCAGATGTTTTTTCCCGATTTTTTTATTTATTTAAAAGAAATGCATACATCAAACTCTCCTGCTTTCCTTCCATCCTTCCATCTACTTTTTCTTTCTACAAATCTTTTCCCTCCCTACAGTTTGTCCTTCCTTCAGCCCTTCCTTGTTTTTGCAAGTTTCCTATTTGACGAGTGAACAATAAAAAAAAGAACACCTGCTGTAAACGAAGCAATAAAATATGTGATCGGCATAATGTGTCGTAGATGCAGTGAGATTGGAAGATGCAGAAAAAGATGTTATATTTTGCTTTAAGTTTTTACCTGTTCGTTTTCTATTGTTTTGTCGCCACAGTAATCAACTGTGGTGATCCCGGAGTGCCAGCCAATGGAGTTAGATTTGGGAATGATTTCACCTACAACCGAACCGTCGCTTTCCAGTGTTCTCCTGGATACACCATGGATGCTGACAGAGCCTCTTCTCTCATCTGCACCAAGGATCGGACCTGGAATGGCACCAAGCCGCTCTGTAAAGGTAGATTAGTGTTCTATAATATGAACAAAATGGGTGGTTTCTTTCTTGTTTCCATTCTGTTTAGATTTTCCTTTTTTTCGCTGCTTTACCCAACAAGATGGACTACATTCGAAAAATATATACATTTTTAAAAACTCTTTTCCTCCTTGCAGCAATTGTTTGTGGTCCACCACCGCTCATCCCAAACGGACAGGTTGTGGGTTCAGACCTAACCTGGGGCTCGAGCATAAGTTACTCCTGCAACCAAGGCTATCAGCTGTCCCTGCCCACTGTGTTAACATGCCAGGGCAACGGCAACTGGAGCGGCGAGAAACCACAGTGTTTCCGTAAGTGGCACCCCACTGAAATACTTTACATATTATGATTAGCTTCTGAGATTGTCACTCCCATCTATGCATGTTCATATCCTGCAGGATGTGTCTTACCCTCTTGAGAATCTAATTAAAACCCAACATGTGTTGCAGGTCACCTAATGTTATGTCTCTCTCTCTCTCTCTCTCTCTCTCCATCTCCCCCCATTGCTTTGTTACAGCTGTATTCTGTGGAGACCCAGGAATGCCAGATCAAGGCAGAAGGGAGGACCGCGGTTTCACCTATCTTTCATCTGTCTCGTTCTCTTGCAATCCTCCCCTCATCTTGGTTGGCTCGGCCAGGAGGTACTGCCAGTACGATGGCACTTGGAGCGGCACACAGCCCTCCTGCATAGGTAAACTAACACAGTTGTGGGTCCAAATGATGCACGTCATAAAAGAAGGCGAGTGTTGTAAATATCATTTTGTTGTAGTTATAACTGTGTTATAACACAGTTATACAACAACACAGTTATCCAACAGTTATAACAGCACCTTCAATTTTTTTATGTGGCTGTATTTATATCTACATATAAAAATCTGCTTCTTAGTCCCTCAAAAGTATTTTTGAAATCTCCATCCCAGGTTGAATATTTTACCCAAATCAACTAGTAGTTAAAGATCTTGGGTACTATGTATTTTTGTAGCAATAACTCTTTTTATTATTATTATTTTACATCTTTCGTACTTGTTTTGCACACACCAGAACAAGCGGTGTGGCCTATTCAAACTCTTTTTCTAAACTGGAGTGAGATACAGTGGCATAGATGAATTAAACAAGTCAGGAACACTCAAAAACCCTAAAATATAGCAGCTATGCATTATCTCCTGAAAGGAGACAAGTTCTTTTTACAGCTCTCTACTTGAAACTTCAGGGAGGAATTTTATTTCTATTCTCCCACTCAAAATCGATCAGCTTAAAAAAAAAAATAAAAAAATTCTGTAAACCGCCGGCCCAAGCAAATATTGGATGGAATTGAATGCCATTGCTTTTACCTGCACATATATGGAGTGGTTGAAAAATGGTTCTAAAATACGACTCAACAACATGGTGTTATTAGAGCTGTACCATAAAAGACGTCTGCAGTTATGATGCCATAAAACACGTCTAAGCACCTTTTAACAGGGACAAATAATGCTTGCTGCATATAAAAAACACTTAAGAAGCACTGCCTAATGGTAACAATCAAGTTGAAGATGAAATTCAAAGAACTTTCCCTCCTTTAATCATGCAGTAGTGCTTATCCCAACAGTTTGGATATTATAACATAAGTTACCTAAATTTTACAACCACCATTAAATTTGTTGCGCGACAGTTTTAATGTGGCATATTTTGAAAACTCAGCAGGAAAAAAAAATAACTTCCTGCAAAGCTTCTAGATTATAACTCCATCAAGTCAAATTGCATTATGTCTTTTTACCTTAGCTTATCTTGAGGTAATGTTTTGCTTCCAAAAATAATGTATCAAATAGTAAAATATTCAGATTTTTTCTCAACTGCACAAAAAAATAAAATAAATAAAAACAATAGAAATCCTTTCTGCTTAACAGGCCTGAGAGTTTAAATATCAAAATTAATTTGTGGGGTTTACTGTTTAAGATATACCCTTTAAATTTTATATCATCACGTAAGAATAAATTGAAAAACAGAAGAAAAAACAGTACCGACTACTGGGGTTGAACTCGAGCCTCTCATGACCTTGCATCCATAAGCGTGCATGATGGATGGATGGATGAATGGATGGATGTCAAATGGGTGAGCTCACTATAGTTTTTTTTTTGTTTTGTTTTTTTTTTGTTTTTTTCAGATCCGAGTCACACAACCTGTGGTGACCCTGGCATTCCACTCTTTGGAAATCAGAACAACAGCCAAGGCTATCAGGTGTGAAAATGTTGTCACACAGGAAATTGAGTTTATATTTTGAACAAAAAAAAATCCAATTAAATTTTAAAAGGTCATTTTTTCCCCCCTTCCTTTGTACTACAGTCTATGCTTCCCCTTTGTTTTGTAATGCAAGCTGTTTTTGTCAGCTTGGACTGCAAGGGTGAAGAGGGTGAAGAATGATTAATGCAGTATTGATGGTATAAGAAAACACATTGTCCCTCCAGGCCTACCGTAGACGCCATCAGGAGCCCGGAATATTTTTGCAGAAGGGGCTTTCTGATCATTTAGAAACATGACGGAAACTGGTAAAGGGATGCCAATGTTCATCTGCCAAGATGTAAAATGGTCATCAACAAAACTCTTTACCAGACAGCCTAGTGACGCAACCAGCCTTTAGTGGGTTTTAATAATTGACATAGTGAGTTTTCAGATTTGTCCATAGAAATGTTCTAAAAAGTCCATTGTGTGCTTTTGCATTCATTCTTCTTTACTGTGAAATCACAAAATAAAATGAAAAATGCAAATTTTCCCACTTGTTCTAACTGCACACCAATTTCATATAATCCTTTTTTCCTATGCTTTCTGCTACAGATTGGCAGCACTGTGTTCTTTAACTGCAGAAAGGGCTACCTACTGCAGGGCTCTATTTCGCGCACATGTCTGCCCAACCTGACCTGGAGTGGATTTCAACCCGAGTGCATCTGTAAGCACGCAACCACTTGCTCTGAAAACGAAACGCAAAACACATCTAGCAATATTTAACCGTGAATTAATATGCCCTCCATTCAAGCATTTCTCACAACCTTCTGCCTACATGTTGCATTTATGCTATTTTTAGTGCTTTCTTTTTTGTTCCCTTTGAAATTGGATTCCCCTCTCTCCCTCTCCAGCCCACCACTGCAGCCAGCCAGAGCTACCTGCTCAGTCTGATGTTCGAGCCATTGAACTGCCATCCCTTGGCTACACACTGATCTATACATGTCAGCCTGGCTTCTACTTGGCTGGGGGTTCAGAACACAGAACCTGCAGGTCCGACGGTAGCTGGTCAGGGAAACCACCACTGTGTGCAGGTACGGACATGGTTGTGTTACGTCTGTAAAACAGTATGGAGATGTACTTGATTAAATAATTGAAAACATGGGTGCAGTTTTCACTCTTTACTCCAAGGTGGCAATAAAGTGCTGGTGTATAAGCTGTTTACTGAGAGAAGAAGAGGCGTTTGTAGCTGTGGAGGAAAACGGCAGATGTCTGCTCCCTGTATTTTGTTTTAAAAGCAACTGTCATTGTTTTCCTCCTGCTTGTGATCTGAACTGTTCTTGTCTTTTATTGGCTGTGTTTGGTGCCACCATCTGACTGGGAGTATTATAGTTCCTACCGGCACATATTGTCAGTGAACCTTAAAATGCCTATTAGATCTTAGTTGGTAGGGTTCACTCCCTGGACAAAATTACGCATGCTTGCCACGTTTTTTTAAACTTTTATTTAAGCTTTTTTCCCTACAGCTGTGGATTCTGCATTAAGGTAAAGCTGGTAAACTTTGCTGACAAAGTATCAAAATCATTGAAGTGATTTAAATGTTTTTTGTTGTTTTTTTTTTCTAAAAATTGGACAGTCTTTATCAAAAAATTCTAAACATCAACATGATCCATTTTTAAGTTGTATAATCCATCGTTTGTCTGTTTACACTACTTCATTCATTGGGGAAAAAAAATCAAAACAAATCTCTATATAATGTTCTGACACTTTTGAAAAATTGAAAGTGTAGAACTGACCAATCTAATGAGTTTCAAAAATAATAATAAAAAAAAGGTTTACTGATGACCAAAGTGATTTATTTTATTTTATTTTATTTTATTTTTTGCTTTTCTTGATTGAACTATACTGAACAATATATTTAGTATACTGTTAGCCCTCTGTAAATAGTCAACTTTTATCCCAACTATTCGCTGCCATGCATTCCTCCGCACCAAATAGGCGGATCAAAATCTCTGCATTTTTCAAAAAGTTACTCAGAAAGCGCATTCCTCATCAAAGCTAATGTTTCACAGTATCCTAATTAAAGTGGTGCCACTCTGAACCAGCATTTCACAGCATCCTTCTGCCTCTGATGTCCATGTGGCCTAATGGGTTCTGACTAATGCAGGGTTGTGGCTCTGTGTACTAATATGTTTGAAATGAGCACACTGACAAGTGTTAATATTTTCTATAAACTTGGAACCTCTTAAATCGGTATAGCTTCTGAAGTAAAGGCAATATATATTTTTTTTCCACAGTCGGCCTTAAAGAATTGAGAGGAGCAAACTCATGCCAACAAATCTGACAGACTATATTGCAAATGTGGTGCAGTGATTGAAAGATTTTATTTATTGATGCAGAAAATCCTTTAACAGCTCTTTTTGAGACTATCTCATTAAAAAAAATAATAATAAGGAACCGGCACGCTTTAATGAGTTCATGTTAGAATTGTGAATTTAAACATTTATAAGTAGTGACCCATAAACATGAATTGATAGCTTTAAGCTGTGTGAGCTGGATTTATAACTAGTTTTTTTTATGACAGGTGAACTTGCACAAAATTGATTGTGACGCCGGACGATATAGAAACAATCCTGCTAAAATGAATAAAATGCCCAAATATCTGCATTTGTAATACGTATTTGACTGATGGCTTGTTTTTAGTTTCTGTATACTTGGAAGATTCCCCGAGTTTTTTTTTTTTTTATATATATATCCAGTTATGCTTATGCTGTGTCAAGAGTTCAGACTTTCCATAATGACAAAACTGGGGAGTCTAATGTGAATGAATAGCGCTGTTGCTCAATTTGTATTCTGAGACACATGTCAGAGTAGGACGATCCATCCATCATGCTATTATAGATTGCTTGAAGCCCAACACCCTTACACTGATAAACGAATCTACAAGCTTTGAAAGATTAGCAAAGGTGCAAAACCTGAATAGGCCAATGCTTCCTATTGATCTGGTTGAGTAGATGTACGTCTTACAAATGGCACGACTTCCCTAACAAGTTCTAGCAGGCTAATAGACTGCTATCAGGACTCTCCAAAGCATCAAGCTAAATGCATATGAAAGGAGAGAGAAAAGAAAGAGAGTAATCAACACACAATTATCTAGGGTAGCAAAATACTAATGGTTGAAGAAGAATGATATAACGGAGGTAGATAGTCATGAGATGGATTCCTTGTGAAGTTGTTAGTGAAATATCCAGGGTTGGGGACTTTTTTTGAGACTGGACCATAAAGAGTAAAGGCAAGGTAGAGAACTGGTCATTGTACATATAGGACATAAACATAGCCTGTGGGCACAATGATGGAAAGGCAGCTCAAAAGGCCTGGCAGCTAATAAAGTTAAAGCATGGGAGCATTATTTTGTATTTATATTTATGTGCATCTCAGTGGCTGTTTACAGATGTAAAATGTCATCGGAATAGCCGTCTTTGGTTGCGGTTGTGAGTAAAAGCCTTTTTCCTTCTGTTTATCAGTGTGGGTGTATGTTTACTACAGCGATGTGGTCTTGTGGTCCCTTGTGAGCTTTAAGGCATTATTAAAGTGCCTCCATTGAAGCTGTGAAACTGTCTATCTGATTTAGCCAAAACCCTGTGGGGGGTACTCGAGTTTCTTTTTGACACGAGACAGGCCCCGTCAGAATCAGCCTTCACTCTGGCCACCAAAGGTGTTATTACTTGTCAGCTGGAGATGCGGGTATTGTTGCCTTTTAGATCTATATTTCAAGTAAAGTTTATAAAAATATCAACTTTACGTGAACCTTTTTAACCTAAAATAAATCCACCTGTTTGTCCTCGTATAAGCTCAGATTTTCAGGCTGTACAGAACCTATAATTAGTGTTGATTATGTCGGGGCTTTTCTCAGTAAATATATTACAAATATTTCTGTTGTCATGGGAGAAAGAAAAAGTTAGTCAATAACTTATTCAATTCAGTAAAACCTTGTTTATCACCTAGGGGTTACTTGAAGGCACAAGGAAGCAGTCCAAACATATGCACAATAATTGTAGAACATTAATTCAGATGCAATTACGAAATTAATATCAAAAGCAACGAACAAACAATAATCACCAAGGGATGAGGCAGTGATTAGTGAAAGATGCAGCTGAAAAACAGTATTTACATCAACTATTTGTACATTATCTGTATATTTAAACAGTAACACATTATGACGAGTTACAGTAAAAGCAATAAATACAGTAAAGACTCATGATGTTCAGAAAAATGACATATTCTTGATTCTCTGGTGGCCTCAGTCTTGTGTGATGAAGTAGGATGACAGATGGAACAAGTATTAAACACTGAAGAAAGTTAAATTCAAAAAAGGCATAGAAAGCTTGTACAGAGCTTCAGGGATGGGTTTCTCCCCTCAAGCAGCTACATCCCAGTCTTTGATTTGAAGTTGTTGGATGCACCGGTCTAAAGCATTCTGCCAAAAGGCCCTAGAACAATAGAGAGAAACATTTTATATCTGTCTGACAAAGCAATGGAGAAGCCTGACTGCATTGAAAAGTTTGCTCCAGACGGATTATTACACAGGGTCACTTTTGAAATTTGGGATAGACCCTTAAACTCCAATGAAGGTAATCCTAATGTGTCAGCATACCAAGACATTTTGGACTAACTCCGGCTGCTCACCTTGTGGGAGCAGTTTGGAAATGGCCTCTACATGTTCCTACAAGATGGTCCATCAGTGCTCTTGCTCATCCTTGTCCATAAGGGCATGGATGAACAAGTCTGATGAATGGTTTGCACAGAGTACATTTCCTGGTGTCCATCACGTGATATAGCATGCAACTCAGATGGCCATACCATCACATTTTCATCGGCTGGTTTGGGGTTTTTCTGACCTTTGATCTAATAAGTCAAGTTTTCTTGGAACAGCATAAAAAGTACGTATACATTGAGCACCAGAAGGCACTTGGCTAAGAGCAAATTTACTAAGGAAACCTTGGATCGCTGTCAAAACCGTTTTCAGTTTCACTTACTCTAAATTACAAGGCACACCATGAGATTTGGCTCATTTAAAGTTTTGTCTTTTGTGTGTGCGTTTATGCTTTTAGCTGATAATCGGCCAAGTGGTAGAATCCCAGTGGGCACTGTACAGGAGCCTCCATCTAAACTGCCAGGTGAGACAATTAAAGGTAGTCAGTTGTTTAATTCATTAAGATAATATTTAAATATATATAGGCTTATAATATGCTCAGTTTCTCTCCATTTAAGACTCCAAAAATGTCAGCTAACTCTTGTTGTTTACTGACATGTTTCATTCAGTCCCTGGTGGTGTGTTTGCTAAAAACTCCCTCTGGAGGGGTTCCTATGAGTACCTGGGAAAGAAGCAGCCAGCCATGCTTAGCATCACTGCCTTTGAACCTTTTAGCAACCGAGTTAATGGGACACTGATCGACCACAGCGGGGTTGAGCTTAAATTAGCAGGTAAGTACCCACTAATTTCTAAAGAAGCATTACAAAAAGGTTCTCTGTGATATCAATGTTGCAGTTTTAGCCAAATAGCTATTTTTTTTATTATTATTATTATTGTAAAGGCAGATCCTTTTTCTTAAATAATTGTCTTCTCCATCTGTGTGTTTTTTTTTTTTTTTTTTTTTTTTTTTCCTGCGGGAACTTAAAAGGGGGGGGAAGCTACGCTGTTTTAAAAATTTCCCCAAAAAAGAGG